AGTGATGAATGCAAATTGCTGTGGTTATTAATGAAGCACCAAATTGGAAAGAGCTGTTAACTTGTCAAGAAGTTGTAAATGAAAAGACAAAAGCATTAATGTAGCAAGAACAGCCAGGGTGCGTGCATCATGGCAAGGGAAGCGGGATGGCAGGTGACGTGAATCACAGAGGAGGAAGATGATGAGCTGCTCCCTGGACGGGGCTGGTGCTGACAGAGGCACTGTTGAGTTCTGGGAACATCTATCCCAAAGTATGTGAGCATGGGTCAAAAATGAGCAAGGGAAATATTGGAGAAAAAATTCATTGGTGGCCACCATATAGAAAGTGTTTGAAGGAATTAAAAAATGGGGAAAGGTAACAAGCTCAAGGAGAAATGCAAAGAAAGGTTTAAATGGGATACATTGGGTAGTGGGGAGGAAATAAATATGTAGCTGAAACCGGTTTGGCTCAGTGGATAGAGTATTAGTCTGCAGACTGAAGGGTTCCAGGTTCGATTCTCATCAAGGGCATGTACATTGGTTGCGGGCACATCCCCAGTTGGGGGTGTGCAGGAGGCAGCTGGTCGATGCATCTCTCTCATTGATGTTTCTAGCTCTCTATCCCTCTCCCTTCCTCTTTGTGAAAAAATCAATAAAATATATTTTTAAAAAAGGAAATAAATATGTACTGAGAATCTACTAGAAAGTAAGCAGAAACCTTTGATACAGCTATTTTGATATCTTCATATTAACTCATGCTTTTTAATGCAGTTGCTTCAAATGTTCCTCTCAATTTATGAAATAATGAACTAACATGCCCAAATAGAATACTTGACTCTCTATAGTGGGAGACTTCCATTTCCTATTTTGTTAATTTTACATCATTTGAGTTTTTATAAGTTTCTATATAATAAAAGAAAACCAGAAATATTTTTATCAAGACAAGGTTAGCTTCCACTGAGGAGTCATCTGTACCCCCCTCCCCCAAATAATCATTATAAAAGAGTATATTTATGTTAAATAAAATGTAACAATAGTAGTCATAGAAATAAAGATCTATAAATATAAAAAGTCAGTGACTAGAACACCATAACGACCGGAATGACTGGTCACTATCACTGCAGTCAGTGAATCAGAAAATTGAGGGTGGGGCCGATCAGCTAAGTTCCCGTGGCCTCTCCCCAAGTCTGCCCCACCTCTGATTGCTCCTCCCCCACCCCAATAGGGGGCAGGGATGGCCAGCCAACCATCCATAGTCTCTCCCCACAGATGGCCCCGCCCCCAATTATCCCACCAATTAGGGGTGGAGCCTGCTGGCCAATCACCCATAGCCCCTCCCCTCAGCTGGCCCGGGCCTGATCAGGCCCTGTGGCCCCTCCTCCTCCTGACAGGCCCAGCCCCAATCTGCCAGATCCCACCAGTACACGAATTTGTGCACTGGGCCTCTAGTATATAACAAAAGGATAATATTGAACATATTACATATCACACTCACAGTAGAATCACATTTTCCTTAAAGGCTAGGTTTAAAATCTACCCCCTATATATAAAATAAGTGGGCTCCACTGTTACCCACACAACCATAATCAAATCTAAAAAGACATATTAAAATGATAGAGGCTTAAGTGACTAGTGTGAATGACATGAGCAGGCAGGGACACTGAAACTCCCCACTCCACCCCTAACTATTAAATAACCATTCCTTTTTAAATAGTTATCTAAAGGGGCCATGGTTTGAATTCACAAACATCTTATGGACTTTTCCTGTAATCCTTCCTTTAGCCTAGCTCAATGATTCTCAAATTTAGTGCACAAAAGAATTACCATATAGGGTGGCACACACAAAACCATGTATCATATACAGAAGGGAGGGAGATGATTCAAGGGCTTTTTATCAGTGATAATTTTGTTTATACTTAATTTTTGTCCTACTTGCTCATTTTACAACCACCCTGTTCCTTTGTAGAACATGTAACTATTGTTACATTTCCCCTCTATTTAAGGGAACTATCAGAAAGTTAATTGGGGATTCTCTACGCTGCCTGAAGGAAAGAAAAAAACACACGAGTGTGGTCCAAAGAACCTCTCAATCTTCCAAACTAGTATATAATAAATGCTTAATTTAACTCAACTGGGAATTCTACCAAAGTACATTTATCTATTCTTTTTATTTTCTAGTGGATGATGGAGTCACATCATTAAGCAGTTGGGTTTATTTATCAAGCAAAAGCAAACCAATGTGGCCATTGTATCTCTAATAGAGAAATTAGAGAATTTGAAATGCAACCCATTGAGGAGTCAGGCTAATTCTCAGAGAATAAACAGTGACTTTGCCTAGAATGGTTTATGAGCTGAGGGAAGAAGTAAATGGTTAATTGAATATGGTAAACTAGGGGCCCAGTGCATGAATTCATGCACATTGAAATTAATTAGAAGAAATATTTTAGAGGACAGGGAGGGACGGAGGGAGATTGTCTGGCTGGGGAGGGACTGCAGGAGGTTGGCTCCAGGGTATGTCTGGCCCATCTTGCCCAGTCCCAATCTGCCAGACCCAAGCAGCAAGCTAACCTACCAGTTGGAGTGTCTGCCCCCTGGTGGTGGTACGTGTCATAGGGACCGGTGAACAGTTGAACAGTTGGACACTTAACATATTAGGCTTTTATACATAGAGAAGATAAATGAGGATGGTATGCCAGATACATTCCTTACCCCAGAGTGTGGGAGAGAAGGTGGTAAGATACTATTGGATTAGGAACCCAGGTGAGACTCAAGGAGGAAGTGAAGACAAAGTCCTCAGGTTGGTTGTACAAATTGTCCCCCACACAAGGGCCCTGACCAGCAGAAGAGGCAGGGGCAGGAGCTGAAAGCCCAGCCTTTTGTCTTTTTTTTTTTTTTGAAAGGTATCTTTATATATATAATATAATATAATATAATATATATATATATATATATATATATATATATATATATTTTTTTTTTTTTTTTTTTTTTTACAGAGAGGAAGAGAGAGGGATAGAGAGTTAGAAACATTGATGAGAGAGAATCATCGATCAGCTGCCTCTTGCACTCCCCCTACTGGGGATGTGCCTGCAACCAAGGTACATGCCCTTAACCAGAATCAAACCCCAGACCCTTCAGTCCACAGACTGACGCTCTATTCACTGAGCCAAACCAGTTTCGGCCAGCCTTTTGTCTTGGCAGGGGACCATGTCTGTGGGGTTAGAGGTTGGAGCTGGGCATGACTTTTTCCAATATGTTCAAAAGCCAATATGCAATATACAGGCCAGTGGTCAACTGAGAAGGATGCCTGCTTCATGCATTACACTTCACACAACTGGAAGTTTAGACAAAATATCCTGGTTTCAGGGTGGCTGTGAGGTGGATAATATGTGAAGTTGTTAACTCCTATTTCCCCCCACCCTGAATGCCTTTTCTGTCCTTGCTGGAGGGAAGTATCCATTCAGTATTTAATTCTCTGAGATTTCCATAATTAGAGAAGAGATGGAGCTGGGCAGGAAACCAAAAGTGATTATCAATTATTCTGGACCTAAAAAAAACAACAACACAAAAAACAAACAAACAAACAAACAAACAAACAAACAAGAAAAACATGCTGCCTCCCCTTGGGCTTTGGAAAGGGGAGGGAGATAGGGAAGGAGAGAGAGAGACTTGTTCTGTGTGGACTTTGGATATGGAGGGAGGTTCTTGAACCTGTGACCTGGGAACTCCCAGAAGGAGGGAATGGCTGTGTGGCATATTCAGTACAACAGGACCAGAGTGGCCTTGCAGATGATTCCATACCTAAACCTGTCAAGACAGCAGCAGAACATGGGTGTCTCAACACTACCTAGGGAGAAAGACCAACCAGCAAGGCCCAAGTCCCACTCCTACTTTGTCATCTTTTAAGACCAACAATTCCCAGCCAAGACAGAGACGAAATTGTTTTTTGCCGGTTGGGCCGACAGGAACTCAGGATAAAAAATAATAGGAAACAAAAAAACAAATTTACCTGAATACAATTTCTGCGATTTATATATCCTACCGCTGTCTTTAAGGGAATATGCCAAATGGCTGTATCGGAATCAAGGTTCTCACCTCCTTCCGGTGTGCCAGGCACTGTCTGAAGCACGTTCACACTTGTTCTCTTACATAATCTTCACAACAGCACTGCACAGCAGCTCATCATGCCAATTTACGGGTAAAATACCACAGCTCAAAGACACAGCGGGTAGCAGAGCAACAGGGATGCAAACTCAGGCCTGTTTTTCTTCCTGCACTATATAGCTGTTATCAGTGGCATGTACCTAAGCTCAGGGACAAAGGGGATATACTGGGTTTCTCAGAAGGTTAAAATAAAAATATAGCTCAGTCCATTGTAGCATTGGGTCTGCCTCATCAGTGAAAGCAGAGAATATCTAAATACTGATGTCCAGAAGAAAAGCCTTCTGGTCACTCAAGCAAAAGAAGGAAGCTTAGCAAGAAATGGTATTTCCTAGGACTGCAGAGAATGTGACGGCAATCTATGACCACAATAAACTTGCAGACTCCAACTCAGATAGACCTCTCATCCCTATATCAGAGGCCTTTTTTTTCAGTGAGTATTGAATGTGTTTTTTATATTCTGTGGTAATTTTATAGTAAAACAAACTAACCAACCTATGGACATGTAGATATTTTCACTAGCCTGTATAATTTCCATTCATCCAACTCACCTTGGCACTCCTGCCAAGTCTGAACCACTTCGGTGCCCACATAGTCACCATTAGGCGAGAAAAACACAAGCTTACAGAAACACACACACACACACACACACACACACACACACACACAGAGGCACGCACACACCCACACTCATGCAATCAATTAAATTCAAAATTCCTACCCAAGTTTGAGTAAAACAAAAGATATAACTTAATATTTATTTTAAAAACACTAATTTCTTGAAGACCCAGGAGTGACTTAAATATTTATATTCAAGGCTTTGGATACACGGCATGTTGCAATTCACAGAACCTGTTTACCTGGTTAGGATCAGGATCAACTTCATCCCAGTTGTTAGTGACATGGCCTTGCTCAGTGGATTCAAAGGGCTTGTGAGAAACGGAGGGTAGAATCCTGTACAGCCAACTGGGAGGAAACAAGGACACATATCTTAGGGAGATGTTGTGATATACAGATTGGCTCAGGAAGCACTATCAGGAAGATGCTTAAGTCAACAATGATCTGTGCACTTTAATATGAAAAGCAATGGCACAGCATCTCTCCTTAACAGCCACTGCTGCCCATTACCCTGGCCTCTTCTCGCCTTTCTACTCTACCCACAACTCTTCATATTAAAGCTCTGGCCCTCAGTTATTCCACACTGACCAAAAATGAAGAACTGTCTTCCTCAGTGATAACTATAAAGGAAAAGGAAGTACCTTGAAGGACATTTGTGTAGGATAACCCATAGTAAAACCTTAGTTTGTATATATTATTAAATACCAGTCTCTGCTCTGGAAGGTGAGGACCACGAATTCTTTGTAGATTGGAAGATATGGGCGTTTGTAGATTGGAAGATATGGGCGTTTGTAGATTGGAAGATATGGGTGTTTGTAGATTGGAAGATATGGGTGTTTGTAGATTGGAAGATATGGGTAGTTTCTTTATTTTTGATATGTAAATACATTTTATTCTTTAAAATTATAAAGAGCAACACATGTCAGTGGTAAAAATAATTCAAATAATTTAAAAAGTCCTGAAAGGTAAGTGGCTTTTTCCTTCAGAGCCAATCCATGGAGGCATCAGAGCTCCACAATGTCCTTGTATAGTATCTCAGTTATGTCCAATGCATATATGAACAAAATTGCCAAATCATTGTACCACTTCATTCTCACAACAAAAATATGTGAAAGTGTCTAATCACCCACATCTTCACAAATACAGGTTATTATGAATAATTTTGCTCTTACAATTAAAAAAATTTTATTTTAATTTTGTATTTCCTTTATTATGAGTAAGGTTGAGAATCTGTATGCTTATTGGACCTTTGTCGTTTTTCTATGAATTTCTTGTACAAGTGCTTTATACTTTTTCTATTGGGTTATTTGTCTCTTTAATATTAATTTGTAAGAAGTTTAGGAAATTAACACTTCTGTATTCCAAAATTGTAAGACTATCTGTTCTTATTTTCTTATAGTACATCTATGGTGCTTTGTTTCTTCCCTCCCTCCCTCCCTCCCTCCCACCCTCCCACCCTCCCTCCCTCCCTCCCTCCCTCCCTCCCTCTCTCCCTTACTCCTTCCTTCCTTCCTTCCTTCCTTCCTTCCTTCCTTCCTTCCTTCCTTCCTTCCTTCCTTCCTTCCTTCCTTCCTTCCTTCCTTCCTTCCTTCCAGTTTTCCTATCTGTATATGTCAAGGCCTGAGCCAAAGGTCTTTCTGTCAAGACCCAGATCTCAGGCTTGAGGAAGAAAAGAAGACTCTGATGAGGAAACTTTGAAGGACACCTGGAGGAAAACCCTCCAGAAGCTGAGAGGGACACTGAAACTCACTAAAACGGAACAAAGTCCTTTCAGAGGCCATTACCCTGACAGAGTATTAAAGGTAAAAGAATACTACTTCTGACAATGGGAGACCAGAGAAGCTTGAACAGGCTCTGGTCCTTTAAGCCCTAGGACAGTCTATTTCAGGGTGGGGGTGGGGGGTGGGAGGTGGGGGGCAGAATTGGCCTGACAGCACACTGAACCATTACAGAGATCAAAAGGCTAGATTTGTTCAGTTTCCATTTGATTTCTTCAGCTCTAGATGATGTGACCCCAGACATTGGACTTTAAGGCCATGAAAAACTAAGCTTTTCTCCAGCTTCCGGTGGTCTATGGAGTTGAGAGTGTGAATGTATCTGTGTGATCATGGGCAAGTTAAAACACTTTCTTGACCTTGTTGTGAGGTTTTAGAGATTATGTACCTAGAGTGCCTGGTGCAGAGTAGGTGCTCAATTATTAGACTCATGTTGAATTGTATGTCAACTCCTAATCAGCTGGGTTTTTATGATGATACACATTTTCCACATTCCCTGCCCTGACTCTTACTTTCTCAGGAGTTAAGGAGTCAGTTAATTAATATTATAAAAAATAATTCTTGGTCGATAAGATCTCAGATAGTTTTGTGGGGGTTCTGCACTGCACTCTGTGGCTCACATGGGTGGTGACTATAAGAATGCTAGGCTTACTCACCTAAGGATGGGATCGGTTCCATCTTCCCCTTGGGGATTTTGATCATTTTCGCAAAATTCGTGTGGCTATCTTTAAAGAGTTCTAAACAGATGGGTGAGCCATGCCTAGGATCCCTTGTTTTTTAGCTGAGTTTATAAAAATCTCCAAGCAGCAATACATTGCCCTGGACAGAGATTTAATTCTGATTCAGGGAATGGTGCCAGCTTCTTAATGAAATGCCAACCGCTCATTTTCAGCCTCCTGGATCAGAGCTTAGCTCCTGCTGGCTGAAGATATTGCTGAATAATGGGGGCAGGCAGCAGAATCCAGAATCCAGGTGTCCCATTAGCGAATGGGACATAAAGTCAAGAACACTGTCATGGAGGTCAAGTTGTTACACATTGGGTTGGATAGGAATTGTCTATGTTTACCTTATCTTGACTATTGGGCTTGCACAGGTAGAGATGATTAAATAGTAATAAAATTAACTCCTGATTTTTTTTTTTACAAGTATGGGAAACTAGTCCTTCCTCCCCCCATGCACATATCTATTGAGAGAGAAGCCATTTGATATTGACATAGTAGCCTAGCACCTGCCATATCTCATACTCAGTTCTCTGATAGCCTCTTAGGGATAAATACTCTGTATTGGAGGAAGAAACTCATCTGCTATGGTGGCAATAAGGTATCATAATTAATGTTAAATGAGTACCTGTCATGTACCAGGCAATGTGCTGAGCACTTTACATACATTCTTTCATTTAATCCTCATGACAACTATGAAACAGGTACTATTATTATCTTTTTAACAAGTGAGGAGCCTGAGGCTCTAAGTGGGTAGATGACTTGCCCAAGTTCACATAGCTGGGAGAAAAGAAGTCAGGACTCAAACTCAGGGTGCCTGACCTCAGAGTGGGCATGATTAACCACTAAGGGGAACCATCTGTCCTTTGTGTGGGCCATAATGCTTCTGTACTCACTATCTTATTTGCTTCTCAGGAGAATTTTGTGGAGATACACCCAGTCCCTTCCACTAAGCAATACAAGACCTCCTCCTTTCTTTTCTAAATCTCCAATAGTCAGTAGCAGACCTTCTCACTGGTGCCTGAAATTCCTACATTTAGACACTGTATGTTTAAATCAAAACACTTACTGATTCCCCAAACCACAACTACTGCATCTAACCTGTCCCTTAGGCGTTCATCAAGGGAGTGGGTTCATTGGCCGGGTTTATAGGAGGAGAGCAAACATGGAATATGACACCTTATGCCAATGAATGTGCTGGTTTCTAGCAAAGGCAAATTTCAAAGAGTAAAAACCTTATTAATTCAAACCACAAGGGGCTGTTATACATGACCTTTAAAATACTTGAGCTTGGATTAGCCAACCTTTTCATGCAAAGAATAGTCAGCTGAGGAAGATATTGTGCTGAGTCTTCTATAATTTTGAGTTAATCATTATAAAAAAAACAAAACAAAAAAGTAAACCAAAATCCAAAACTCAATTGGACAAACCTATTGGGAACATTTTCTTCTGAGTAAAAGTGAGAATTTGTAAGTGGGAGTGGACGTGTGTTCCCAGCCTCTGTGCCGCTGTTCTCTCAGCTTCATCCACCAGTCACCTGATTCTAGCTGGAGACAAAGCCCATGATCCAGAGCACAGTCTGGGAGAATTTGGCTCTTGGGCAGTCCTAGGAGGCTGTGGTCCAGGTGTAGGAGGCAACACTAAGCAGCAGTGATAGCTCCCACAGTCTGCAGGTCGGAATGAACCTAATCCTCATACCTTCTCTTATTGGTACTCCTTGGACAGGTAAAAGCTGATCCTGAGAGCTGCTCAGCATACAGGTTGTAGGGACAAACTTGAGGATTGTTCTAAAACAAAGAAGGCAATAAATAGCATCACTTCAATCAGAAATGCATCCTATCCTCCCACCATGCTACTTGTCAGAGGATTCTGTCCTGAATGGGGAATGCACTGGGCACTGCATATGACCACCCCCCACCCATATGTACTTCTGTAATAATTTTTTAAGTGATTTTCCCCTTTATTAGAAAAGTAACACATGCCTATTGTAGAAAATTTATAAAATATAACCCATATTTCACCGTCCAGAAATAATCCCATGTAGTCATATTGATATATATTTTTTTGCCATTCTTATCCTCCAAACTGGGAATCTTATGATATGTATAGTTCTGTAATAATTAGGACTTTTAAAAAGAGGAAAATACTATGTCATAGGCATTTTCTCATGCCACGCAATATACTTAAAATTTTTTGAAAAACGGTTTGCCATATTTTTATTATCGTAACCAACACTAGTGTGAACATCTTTGTACATAACATTTTTAGGGCTGATTATTTTGTCATCATTGTTACATCTGATGCTGTTCAAGGGAACTATAAAAACAGTTCCCTTAGCCCTGAACCTAGAATATCCTCCTGAAAATCCCATGGTTAGTCTTCTTATTTTGAATTGAGGGCTTTGTCATAAAGTAACTATCATCCAACTTTAATCTTTGTGTTGTCATTGTCTGTATCCTAATAGTCTGAAAGACTGTAAAACTTCTAGATACTTCACAGGCTGAATTATGAGAGCTATGGTGGATAGAGGTGCTTTGCCTGAGGGCTGGTCTATCATTCCTGTAATTCAGAGCTTTCTAAACTAATATTCTATTTACTCGTACCTGTCCTTCTGGCAGGGCACCAGGGCATCGGGGGTCCTCTGAGACACATTCGTTCCCGAATCCAGAAATGTACTGCATGTGACCAAAGCAAAAAAAACCACCATTAATGGGATTTAAAGAGCATTTCACAACACTGACGGTCTACAAAGGTAAGAGTTTCTACATGAACATGTGTTTGTGTATGATTTTCCATACATAATACCTTTGCTATGTCTTGACATATGAAGCATTTAGGAAAGACAATATGTTCTGTGTGAATTTTAGAGACCACCAATTAGTTGGAAGAAGAATGCTGGATGACATAGACTCTTCACCCTTCGCTATACTTAGTAAATTTATAGGCTTGTTCTTACTTATCCTACTCCAAGAACAGGTTCTTTAATTCTGGTTCCATGAAGGATTCCCTGATAGGGCAGAAGGTTCATGCATCACCTTATCTGGATTAATAGGATTTTGCTGGGCCTGGATGGCAACCTCTTTGGGTTTGGGGAGCTCCACTCCCCATTCATACTCTGAAACAAGCAACTGTAAGAGGCACCTGGATTCATTCTGATAGCAACATTCTTGAGAGGAAGCTCTCCAAATTAGCCTTACTGCAGATAGAACACGACATCATCTGGCTCATCTATAAAAATGGGAAGCTTGAAACCCTAGCCAATTTGGCTCAGTAGATAATCAGTCAGCCTTCGGACTGAAGGGTCCCAGGTTTGATTCTAGTCAAGGGCATATTCCACTATGGTTGTAGACTCCATCTCCACAGAAGCATGCAGGAGGCATCCAATCAACGATTCTCTCTCATTATTGATGTTTCCATCTCTCCCTCCCTCTGGTTTTAAATTGGAATTTAGACCAATCAGTAGAAAAGCAGAATCTGCTTACCATTACAAAATGGAGTCTATTCTGATTATCATTTGTTTACATCCAGAGAAAATAAAGTTAGGGGGTTTCTCCACAAAGTAACCCTTGTGGAGCCCATGAAACTTATTATTACAACACTTACCACAGCTATGAGTTTTTGTTCGCTGTCTGACTCCTGGAAGTCTGAGACTACAACATTCCTATGTACCTCCATATGCCCTGTGCCTGGCTTATAGAAGGTACTCAATAGATATTTATTGTTTGACTTAGTTGTCACTTAGATCCTATCTCAAGAATATCTGTATGCTGTTAAATGAGGTTAGGACCCCCTTGTTTTCCTAACTTAAACACCAAAACAAAGGACCATTCCCCACCCCACCCCAGCTGTTCCTAATGCATGTGCTTAATTTTAGCCTAGGATGGAAGTGCAGCCTTGCGCAGGGAGGGAAATGCCACCATCTGAGCACAGGCCTTTAAGAGATATAAGAAGGATGTAAGTGGGTGGAGGGCCAGTCCTTCAGAGTGCTCAGCAGCATGGAGAAGGATGAGCTTGATGCCATGTGCCTGCGTGTGTGAGCGATGAGCAGGCCAGCAGCTGTCTATATTTGGAAAGGAACATCAAATGCGAAATGTTATGACCTAGAAAGCAATGGAAGTGAAATTCTTCTTTTTGCCTCCATACACATTTAAAAAAAAAATATATGAAAATCTATCAGCACTAAAAACACCGAGTCCCATTATACACAGATTGGTTAACAGCAGCGGCATGCAGCTTGGAATGATTTTTTCGGGGAAACAGCAGAGACCATCCAGCATTCTGACTCTCCACGGAGCACACTTTTCTTCTCTCGAAATGAACCTCCTGCTTACCATGAACAGGATGGAATGTGAGCTGCTGAGAAATGGTAATGATCCTACATTCTGAGAAAGGGAATTTGGGCCAATCTGTGACTGAAGCCACTGAGTGTCACAGTGTCTTTACTTGGTTCAGCTGCCTCATTGTTTCTCTCAGCAAACCAGGCGAGAGGGTGTGAGTGCAGGGACGGGAATGCAGCCCATCTATCTGGCCGGCATGGGGTCTTCTCCCTTCTTCACCATTGCTGGCCTCAGGACAGAATCCACGGTTATGTTACTATATGCTCAGAACAAGGGGAGAGAGATTTAGTGCTAGTGTATGGAGTTCTGAAGCATTTGCTTCCTATTGCTTTAAAGAAAATGGAAAAGAAAGCAGCTAGCACAGCTAGCTGGTGATTTGGAAGGGAGCCGCCCAGAGAGGTGAGAGTTCTGAATCGCTTTCTCAACCTTTTCTGTAGAGAACTGACTGAAGAGGAGGGTGGAAACCGCTGAGTCACTATCACATCAGTTGGTTTTCCTAATCCTCTGAGAGAGAAAAATGGCAGGTGAGTGTTTTAGAGCTTTAAAATTCCAGGTCCCTCACTGCTGAAGGTATCTGAATTAAGGAAGCCATTGTCTTCAGCTGCTTTCCCAAGGCTTTGAGGTCAAGGACCAAATCCCAACTCTGCTCACATTTGCTATAAAAACCCAAGCCTTCAACTCCAGCTGATTCAGTGGCTATGTGCAAATATATCTTATACAAAAAAGTCTAACATTTAGCAAGTGTGTTTATATGTTTTCTTCAGTCCAGATTTCTGAATAATTTTATCCAACATAAAAGTATGATTTCATTTCTTTCCAAGAGAATTATATGCATCCTTTCTAAATAAAGGAACAAATTACTAAGCTCCATGTAACTTCAGTACCATCAGTTCTTTGACAGCTCCCTACTATACAGTTTTTTAATTCTCACCTAGTCCCCAGGATATGATTTATTTGTCAAGAGTGGTTTTATGAGTTGTTTTCTACTGACTCTGATCTGGTAACACCCTGATGGGACAAGCAGATGGTGCACCTCCCTTCCTTTCACTGGGCATGAAAGAGAAAGAGAGAGAGAGAGAGAGAGAGAGAGAGAGAGAGAGAGAGAGAGAGAGAGAGAGAGAGAAAGAGGAAGAGAGAGAGAGAGAGTGTGTGTCAGGGTAGAGATGAAGCTACAGCTACCATTTTCACTGTCTAAGGAGTCCAGTATTTCTACTTCACTTGTTGGAAACTTAGACTATAGGTTGTTAGGGGAACTTGCAGATAATTGCAGTAGGCTGAAAATGACCCTCAAAGATATTTATATATCTTTATAAATATTTATATCCCTGGAACTTATAGGTGTTACCTTAAATAGCAAAGGAGAGATGATTTTTGCAGATCTTCTACTGCAGATGTAATTAAGTTAAGGATTAAGATAGTGGAATAAGCCTAGATTTTTGGGGTGTGTCCTAAATGTAATCACAAGTGTCCTTATTAGAGGGAGATTTTACTGTAGAAAAGGAAAAGGTGATGGAAACAGTGATTGGAGTGCTGTGCTTTGAAGATGGTGAGAGGCCACAGTCAGGGAATGTAGGAAGCCTGGAGAATCTGGGAAAGTCAGGGCAACAGATTCTCCCCTGGAGTATCCAAAAGGAAGCAGGCTTACCAACACCTTGATGTTAGCCCAATAAAACTGATTTCAGAGTTCTGAGCTGGGGAACTATAAGAGAATAAATGTGCAGTTTGAAGCCACTACATATATAATAATTTGTTACAGCAGAAATAATAATTACATAGACCAGTGGGACCTATCTTAGCTAATCATTAGAATCATCCCAGAAGTTTGTTAAGTGCAGACCCTAATCTAGTGAATCAAAATACTTGGTGGTGGGGCCCAAAGTCTGCATGTTAAAGAGCTCTTCATTTTATTATTATTCTAGAGGCCTGATGCACAAAATTAGTGCATGAGTAGGGTCTCTAGGCCTGGCCAGCAATCAGGGCTGATCAGGGCCTTCCGGCTGCTGGCTGGGGCCTTCCTTCATTTTGCACTGCCATCCTGGCGGTCAGATCATGTCATAGTGAATGATAAAACTCCCAGTCTCCTGGTCTCCTGGTTGAACTCCTGTGGGGACACTTTGCATATTAGCCATAATTATTATTATTATTTTGTTAATCCTCACCCGAGGACATTTTCCCCATTGATTTTTAGAGAGAATAAAGAGGGAGAGAGGAGAGGGAGGGAGGGAGAGAGAGAGAGAGAGAGAGAGAGAGAGAGAGAGAGAGAGAGAGAGAGAGAAAGAAAGATACATTGATCAGTTGCCTCCCACAGGAGCCCTGACCAGGGCCAGGAATAGAACCTGCAACTCCAGGTAGTTGCCCTTGATGGGGAATTGAACCCATGACCCTTAGTGCATGGGCCAGCACTCTAACCACTGATACACTGGCCAGAGCAAAGAGCTCTTCATTTTAGAAAGGAGGAAATCAAGACTCAAAGAAGCAAAGCAATTTAAGAACATAGGGTATGGTCTATTTTAAATTTAATTTAATTTTATCTTTTGAATTTTCTTCCCCCTAGTTTTGCTTTTGTGTAAATGTGATTTCATCTGAGGCTTTGTGTTGACATATCCATTAAAATGAAGAAATAAAAGCTGAGAAATATTTTTTTAATATATAATGCTTATTGATTAGAAAGATGCAATCTGGCTTTCTGTGTTTGGATTCCTGATCTCTAGAGCTAACCTTTAGACAGCAGGCTGGGATGAATGCCTTTGAAACTAAGAACAAAGACCAGCATGCAATTTACATTGGTGTGCTGGCTCTGTGCATAATAAATTGCTTAGAAATTTCAGCAGGGGAGGATTTTAAATATAATTTATTTATAAATGGTAAGGATATTTCCAACTGCTGCTGAACTCCCCCACAGGATTTTCGTTAAGAAACACGGTTTTTATGCATTCTTCCAAGACTTCAGCTACACCTTTGATAGGATGATTTCCCATATCTGTTCGCCTAGTCTTACCCACTCCCCTGAGTCCAGATCTACGCCTCCAACCACCTCTTGGGGGAATCTCAACTTGACTGTCCCTGAAGCAACTCAAATTTGGCTGAATCACTCTTGGGCCCCAGAACAGGCAGGCTCTGTGTATACCATGCCTTTGTATATAACCCACACATTCAACTGCACATAAAATGAAAAAGGGATGATTTCCTAGAGTGACTGTGAGAACTTCTATTGGCCAAGAGCTGGTTGAGGGCCTCAAAATGACCCAGTAGATTAAACAAATGTAATTGGTGAGCTAGAGGCCGTCCCAGGAAGCTTCGGCACCAGGCAGGTATTGGAGAGTATGTGTGGGGATGGAGGGGTCTGGGGAAAAACAGCAAGACATGTGTCTGCCCTTGGTGGGAGGGAGCCCTCTGATATCTACAGATTCCCAAGACAATATTTGAAATGAACAATGAAAGCGTCAACTCTCCTTTTTAAAAATCATCTCTCCTTCATCCCCCTCATGGCCCCCAGCCAGGTCCACAGACGCCGCAGTGAAACCTCTGAGGATAGGGGCTTGGACCAGAGCCCAAGTCCTTTCTAACGCTGACACTATGGCATTCTCTGAAGCTTCCCTATGTTCTGGCTGAAGAAGCCACAGCAAAGTTATCTGGTAGTTCCTTACCTTCAGTGTATCCATTTTCCTTCTGCTGCAGGCCTGGTGATTTCAGGAAACCCACGCCCAGAGAGGGTATGAAGTCTAAATGCTTCTGTTTCTTCTTTAAACCGCTTGCTGAACGCTCTTATTCCCACCACTTCGCTGTATGCACTGGTCAGCACGTCGCTCAAACTGGCCACAGAATTGCCTAACTGGTAAAGCAGGGAGAAAGTCCAGCAGGCTCACTTTCCACTAACTGCTTACACAATGGCATTTGTTTACTGACCCCTGACGCTCCTGGAAGAGTTTTCAGAGACTGCCTCCTCTTCACCTGAGGCAAAGATTGACTAATTATTAGTTCCATTTAAAAGAAAGCTTATTACTAAAATCAGATAATTTTTTTTTTAATCCTCACACAGAGACATGCTTTTATTTTTTATTTGTATTTTTTGAAATTTGGCCCAGATTTGGCTTTGACTTATTTAAAAAATTTTATTTTAGAGAGGGGGGAAGGGAGAGAGAGAAACATCGATGTGAGAGTGAGACATCAATTGGTTGTCTCCCACACAAGCCTGACTAGGGATTGAACCCACAACCTGGGTATGTGCCCTGACCAGAAATGGAACCCACAACCTTTTGGTGTACGGGTGACTCTCTAACCAACTGAGCCACCCAACCAGGGCCGAAAGGCAGAGAATTTAAAGCTGTTTAGGAAAGGAACTGAAGTAGTTAGTGCCTGCTGTTTGTGGCAGACACTGCTCTACTCAGTCTTGACTCAGGACAGGAAGGAATAGGAAGTGTCATTCTCTGGAGAGCAGTGAGAAGACAATTGTGCTCTGGCACAGGTACTGGCACAGCTGCCTGAAACAGGGACCGGTCTGGACAGCTCTCCGCAGGTGCCTCCTAAGGATGTACTGGGTGAATTGTTCAGAGCTTTCTCAGCAAAGCAACCTGAGATGTTTACTACTGCTCCCTCAATTCCTTAAATTCTTATAAGTTCTTTAAGAATCTTGCTTCCTCAAAGATAATCTATCCAGCAAAGCTATCACTCAGAATTGAAGGTCAGATAAAGAGCTTTACTAATAAAAAAAAAAAAGCTAAAGGAGTTCATCAACACCAAACCAGAATTATATGAATTGCTGAAGGGGGTTCTTTCAGAAGAGAAAGTAAACAAAGATAAAAATTATGAACAACAAATATGTAACTATCAACAAGTGAATCTAAAAACCAAGGAAATTAAAAAAAAAATCTGATGAACAATAGTAACTGTTGAATATAATAGAATCAGAGGTATGGAAGGGGAGTGAACTGTCGATTCTTGGGGAAAAGGGGAGAGGGGGGCGTGGGAAGAGACTGAACATAAACTGTGCACCTATGGATGAAGACAATGGGGAGTGGGGAAAGGGCAGAGGGTGAGGTGGGAACCTGGTGGAGGAGAGCAATGGTGGCGGGGGGTAGGGGGGGGAAAGGAACATTTGTAATAATATGAACAATAAAAACTTATTAAAAAAAAAAAAGAATCTTGCTTCCTAATGCCTTTGTTTCTTTGAAAACAGACCAAGGGATTACTTTCCAGTCACTTTCCCCATGACTTCCTTGTCCTTCATCTTGGCTATTCTCCTTAGCCATGGTCAGGTATCAACTTTGGGGCTAATTGTATTCAGGAAGGAAGAAACCATATATTGAATGCGTCCTCTTGCCAGATTTTCCCACAGACATTACCTCATTTAATTTCACACAAAAAATTTTATAAACCAGGCTCTATTATTACAAACTCCAAGTGCAACAGACCAGGCAGGAAATATAATTGGGTTAAGTCTCTTTCCCAGAGAAGACTTTTATATGAAGCTCCAATTTTGAAACATTGGCAACTAAATGAGTGAATGAATAAAACCACTGTGGTAGAATGCAAAAAATGCCCACTGTGCCCTCCCATCCTGGGTGCATGCCCCTTTGCAAAGTAACTTTGCTGCTTCTCCCATCAGGAGATGGAGTATTTTTATTTTTTATTTTTACCTCCTTGAATCTTACTTTGTTTAAACACTACACAAGCAGAGTCTTGAAAAGTGTCTTGTGCCTTAGGATTTGTTCATTTCTTGCTACTTGAGACCACCACGCAAGGCTGGGCGGGCCTCCTTGAGAATGAGAGACCACATGGGAAGAGAAGTTCAGGCAAAGCTCAGCACTGACTGCCAGCCATGTGAATGAGGCTGTGAGATGACTGCAGATATATGAGTGATTCCAGGTGAGACCTGGAGAACCACCAGCTAAACCAAGTCCAAATCGCTGACTCATTCATACCATGGCAGCAGCAGAGTGATTTGCCTTTGTCTTAAGAATTAAGACAGAGAAAGCCAGACCAAAGGGGCTATGCTGATAGGAACAAATGACAGGTTGACAGCAATCGGTGTGGACCAGGCAGCTTAGTATAGGGCATCTCAGCACATATCAGCATAGACAGATGACATGGTGTTATTATATAAGCTTCCCTGCAATTTATCTGCAAACCTGGGAGGAAAGAAGTATAGACCTCAGCTTTATGAAGGCTGAGTTTTTATATTTCCTGTAGTTTGCAAATTCAAAAGTAAATTCAAGAAAAATAAAAAATGAATTCAAGCCCTACCTAGAGCTGGTTTAGCTCAATGGATAGAGCTCCAGCTTGTGAACTGAAGGGTCCCATGTATAATTCTGGCCGAGGGCACATGCCTGGGCTGTGAGCTCAATCCCCAGTGTGGGGTGTGCAGGAGGCAGCCAATCAATGATTCTCTTTCATTATTGCTATTTCTCTCTCTCCCTCTCCCTCTCTGGAATCAATAAAAATATATTTTTAAAACATGAATTCAAGAAAAATACTTTTTGCAACTGTTTATGAGTACACTGAATCCTGAATCTTATTGATCTTAAAAGTTAGTCTTTGGTGGTTAAGAAATAAAATAAATATTAGCCAGTAAGAGACAAAGGAAAAGCTTTACTGCTTTATTTTTCCATAAACTTTCTATGCTCTTTCCATTGAATCAGCTTTGAAGGCAGACCGAAGAGGTGTTTGGGTTCTTCGTGAGGTGTGAGAGATTTCCTAGAGAGTGGTAACAGATCCTTGACTGAAAATTACTTTGAGGGCACTGAAAACATTTAAAAATTGAATAATAAACCTATCACTGAACTTTAGGGATTTCTCCAAAGTGGGAACTATTTCTTGTCTTTTCCTGTTTTTATAGCAATGCTTTAATAAAACAAGCACTTCTAGAGCCAGGCACTATGTTATATACACACAGGGGATATGAGAATAAAATACAGGGACAGGCAGTTTTGATTGGCTTTCCATGTTCATGTAATCACACACTCATTTATTTTTTAAATATGTTTTTATTGATTTCAGAGAGGAAGAGAGAGGGAGAGAGATAGAAACATCAATGACAAGAGAGATTTATTGATTAGCTGCCTCCTGCATGCCCCCCATTGGGGGTTGAGCCAGCAACCCAGACATGTGCCCTGACAGGAAACCTAACCGTGATCTCCTGGTTCATGGGTCAAAGCTCTGAGCCATACCAGCTGGGCTCATTTCTTTATTTTACAATTACCAAGGACCTGCTATTGCCAGACCCTGTGAGATGTGGGGAACACTAGATGACTGAGCCTCAGTCCTGTTCTCTAGAAGGACAGTGTACTGGTGAAAACTGACCAGTAAGTGGGTCAATGCAACAGAGCGCCATATGTGCTGCAACAGGAAGAGACGAGGGTGCTACTGGAAGGATTGGGGGGCCTCCTTGCTCAGACTAGGAAAGCAGGGAAGGCTACCTAAAGAAGATGATGCCTGAGCCAAGTCACAAAGAATAAGAGTTGACAGGCACGGAGCAGAGGGCAGAGTGTGTACGAAGACAGAGAAGGGGAAGTGCAGTGCATTCACAGACCTGGGTTTAGGGCAGGGTGACTGAAATAGCAGAGTGGAGGGATCTAGTGAGGGAAGGTTTGGCTTCCAGGAAAGGGGAGACTTGGTCAGACATTTGAAGCAGGGGAATAGGGGACCTTCTAGGCTGGGTAGGTGCTTTAGGGTTCAAAGACACCTAGTAGAAGAAGCAGGGAGTGTGTAGGGCCAAGACAGATGTATACTGGACCAGAACAGAGTCACAGTATCAAAGTGGTGAGCAAAAAACAAACAAACAAACAAACAAAAAAAAAACAGAGATGTTAAAAACCAGACAGGGGAGGATGGATTCAGTACATCGACATGAGGAATAGGTGAGGTGAAGAATTTAAAAAGAATTAGGAACATGAGACCCCAGGTGTCTGCTTCTCCCAGATTCTAGCACAAGATAGGCCTACGCTCCACAGAAGCCCTGGAAGAAAAGTCAGACAAGTTTCCCACTCACAGGTGCCAGTGAGAGGGGACTAGGACCAACACCAAGTGCAACAAGTGCTGCTGAGATCTCCAGCCTTTTCCCAGCGCACTTCCAGCATGCTATCAGCAAGTGCTTTACCTCCCGACAGGAGACCAGAGTACTCTTCTCTAGGACAGTGGCTCATAAAGACTACACATTTTGATAAATTATTAACTATAATAATAAAAGCATAATATGCTAATTAGACCGGGTGTCCTCCAGGGCTGCAGCTGCCATGGCTGTGAGGGAGGCCTACTCTTGCATGAATTTTGTGCACTGGGCCTCTAGTTAAATATAAAAAGTAAAAGTCTTTCCGGAAATGCTTCTTTAATGAGGTAGATGGTTCCCTTCCCCTATTAATTCCTATATCCATAATTAATAACTCTTGTTTTTAGAATGAAACAAGATTCAGCATCACTTAAGCTTATTTTTCGGTTTTACAGACATAAGCACTGAGAAAATATGTTCATATACATAGTAGATATGCCTGGAAGGAATTTTGATATTGTGTCACTCAGTTCCCCCTGGAATTAAATACTAATAGATGCATAGTGTTCTATCATTAAACATTATTTTTAATGGCCTCCCAATCAACCACTCAGTAGGGTTCTTTAATTTTGTTGCAAGGAAATAGTTGGAAACCTAATTGAAGAAGGCTTGGTTATC